ATATATGTTTACAATATGTGAACACTGCAATCATTTCAGGGAGGAAGTACGTCCACATAACACACTGTTATTCTTTGCTCTCCTCCTTTCCCTTCTCCAGGTCTTTCCTTTATCATTAGATCCTCTTTCCCCATTTTCATTATGACTTAGCATTTGTTGGCTCACGTTTACAATAACTTTAGCATTTATTGTGGATATTTGGTATATGAACATGTCACATCTTGAATCTTGTCATTACCCTTCCTCTACACTCCTTGCCCTCAGTTTCTTGGACCCTCTTATCTTCTAAAAAAAGATCTACCTTCCTGTTTCATTCTATCAGTCCTTAAGTTTGCTCTTTATTTATACTGTCCGTTACTCATTCAGCAATACTGGATGGTGTTTAAGCTTGTGTGTCTGACTAATTTCACTTGCCATTATATTTTTCAGGTGTATTTATTTTCCTACAAATGTCTCAAATGTATCCTTCTTTATAGCCTACTAATGTTCCATCATGTATAGATACTGCATTTTCTTTATTCATTTGTTGATTGACTTATAGGCTGCTTTCAAGATTTAGCTATTGTGAACTGTACTACTACATGCTTCTATTACTCTAATATGGTGTTTCTAGCTCTAACTGGAAGATACAAAGGGAACAGCTGGGTCAAATGGAATTTCTATTTTAGTTCTTTGAAAATTCTGCGTATTGATTTCCATGGTGGATGTACTAGTTTACATTTCATCAAACAATGTAGAAGGGCTCCTTTTTCCTCACAACCATGCCAGCCTTTTTACTATTTGATTTCTTGATAATTATCATTCTTTCTGGCATAAGACCTTAGTGTTATTTTAATTTGCATTTTTCTAATGGCTGGAGGTGAGCATTTTTTTAATAAGTTTATTGGCCATTTGTGCCATTTTTGAGAAGAGTCTACTCTTCTCATTTTTTGAATGGGTTTTTTGGGGGTGGTCTAATATTTTGAGATTTTATACATTGTAAACATTAGTCCTGTGTCTGAGGAATACCTAAAAAAAATTCCCCCATTCTGTAGATTGTCTCTTCACTCTACTGATTCATGCTTTTGTTGTGCAGAAGCTTCTGAATTGATGTAATCCCATTTATTGATTCTTGCTGTTATTTCTTGAGTAGTTAGAGCTCTATTCAGAATGTCTCTGCCTATACTTATGGTTTCAGGTTTTATTTATTTTATCTTCCAATAGCGTCTTTGTTTCGTTATAATATTTAGATCCTTGATGCATTTTGATTTTATTCTAGTAGCTGGTGAGAGATACATGTATAGCTTCAATCTCCTGAATATAGTAGCTGCCTCTCCCAGCGACATTTGTTAAAGAAGCTATCCTTCCTTCAAAATATGTTTTTGAGACATTTATTGAAGACCAAATAGCTGAATGGACAACATCTGGGGTTACTTCTGCATCCTTTATTTTGTTCCAGTGATCCACATGCCTGTTTTGTGTCTCTTGCTTTGTAGTGTAACTTGAAATAGGTATTGTGATGTCACCTGCTTTACTCTTGACTCCAAGGACTTCTCTTGATATTCTGGTTCTTTTCTGGTTCCATATGAATTTTAGGATTGTTTCCCAATTTCTGGAAGAAATGTTGGCATTTTGGTTGAGAAGTATGCTATATGAAAGCAATATTCAATGACAAATTATATCTAAGATTGCTAATATAAATAAAATCTATTTGTAATATATTTTCCTACTAGTTTGTTGATGCATTGTATTTGGCTTTATTTTTCTCCTATGTTATAGTTTCTGAAATCAGGTTAATTTAGCCTTCATGTACTTTGAAGTCATATACTGGGTCATCTCAAACTAGTCCTTTTATACTGAAAATATCATGTTAGCATTTTCAGTGAAATGCACATTCCTGAGAGTTGGCATCATTTCTATTTTTCTACCTTATGTTGCCTGCTTACCAGTAATAATTATGCTTATGAAAGCAACTCAGAGTAAAAAACAGTGCATTTGACATTAGGCTGGTTGGGTAGTGTCTCTGAAATAATTATAAGTTTCCAACACCTGGCTTTAGATAGTTTACATTGTCTTGATTGCTGGAAAGGAAGTGGGCCCTAGAGACTTAGATATGAACTTGAAACCAAGCCTTTTATTTGAAACTAAGAAACTTGGGAGCATTAATTGTCCTAAGTCTCAATTTTCTAGTAGATGCTGGGAATAAGTCAATCAATCCAAGATTTTTTGAAATTAAAAATTTAATGAATGTAAAATGCAACATGGTTAAGACTTAATAAACAGTTGCTCCTGGTTACAATAATAAGTAGATTATTCATATAAACTAACATTATATATCTCATGGAGAAATGGCAAAGAAGTTAGAATGCTTAGAGAATTATTATATTTTAAAGTGATAGTGTTTTGTTATGAAAACTTTAAAATTAAGAATAAATGATTGAATAACATTTCATATACATAAAATTAAAATTCAAATTCTTCAAATTATACATGAGCAGTGACTTGTAATAATGAAACAAAGCACAATTTGAAAGATCTTAACCTTTCTATAAAACCTCAAGTGTAGTTTTGTTGCTTTTTTGTTTCTAATACTTTGTCCTTGTTATTGTATTTAAGCAATTCCTTTAACTATTGTCTTTAATTATAGGTTATAAAATGACTTACTAACCAATAAGAGTGAACACCTTTTTGTTCATATGATGAAGTTTATACATTTCTAATGATATGCAAGGCTATTATAATATTATAAAGTGATAGCCAGATAATATATCATCTAAATTGTCAGCCTAACCTCAATAAGGTTGCTATGCCCTATATCATGAACAAGACAGGAAAGTGAATTCAGAATTCACTTCAAGACATTGGCTACTTCAAATAAGTTAGTGTTACTCTGCAATATTGAAAAACATGTTATGTCAAGAACTAACTGAAGAGGATGGCATTTTCCTTAGATAAAATATAATCAATATGACTTTGAACATCGACAGCAAATAATATAAATTTTCACTGAAAAACATAAGAGAAGATTGAAGAAGGCAGAAAGCCTAAAATAAAATATTATAATTACTAAAGGTTTTCTGATAAGAAACTAAAACCAGAGGACTTTCCCCAGAATCAAAATTGCTCATTTTTGTGTCTCAAGTGCCTAAAACAGGATCAGACTCAGAGGAAATCCTCAATAAATATTAAGTGAATAAAGATGACATAAATGTTAAATGACAGTGGATCACAATTGTCTTTTATTTTTGCCACTCACAACCTAGTTATATGTTTTTATATACCAAATATCATTTGATGCAATGAAAAGCATAACAATTTAAGTAACTCTTATAATTCTTCTGGTAAAGCCAAAAGTCAGTTGACTTTATTGCTCTGTTTACCCATTATTAAAAGATATACCAATTATCAAAATATGTTGGAAAAAGAAATTCAAGATTTTGCAAGGATACTCAATGATACATCTCCACATATCTAGTGATTCAAAATAGCAACAGACATACTTTTCAATTTAATTTTAAATGAAAAAACAACCTGAAAATATAAATCCATATCAGAGATCACAGTCGGCATGCCCTGGCACTAAGTGTCTTTTGATTAAATCAAGGGCAGGTTAAATACCCTTCTGAGTCATACCTCAGCAACAAACCCATTATATTAAATATTTCTTCAAAAGCATGGTTGAATAGAATGTTACTGTATGGAGCACAGCAGTAAAAATATTGAAAGGTCATTCAGTCCTCAAAATGACTTGAAAGTTTCTTCTTTACAATAGCATACATAGAGTTTTCTCTCATTAGTTCTTTAGTATAAACATTTTGTTCAAATTTCCACTCAAACCAATTTCAGTGATTTTGGTTTCCTATTTCTCTTACAATGAGAGTCAAGTGAGCTGCCTTCCCATCTTTGCGATGTAACGAAACTCCTTCACTACCTGCAATTTAAGCCCCATATAGTTTGCCTGATCCTTTCTCTACAGGCCCTACAGGCCCTCTTTCCCTCTTAGGTATTGAACTCACACTCCAGCACCTTCTCCCTTACCCAGATACACATTTTTCACAGTACTTAACACATTCTAACAAGTTGCATGAATTATTTGTTATATTTAGTGTGGGTTTCTCCCCAGAGATGCATAAGTAACAAGAGAGAAGACTATTTTCTTTCCTATTTCTAGCACCTAAGACAGTCCATGCCTGGTCTGTGTTAGGTTCAGAGAAATACCTTTTGAATAAATAAGTGAAAATGTTGTAAAATAAAAATCAAGGATGGGACTTTCAAAAGAACTTAAAGATATCTGAGGAGCTTCTTAAAATGACTAATTTAAAAAACTAGAACTTTGTATATAGCAATATTAAAATGATATAAAACAAACTTTTAAAAGGAATCAAACCAAATCTCTTGAATAGTTTTTAAAATGAAAAAATTGGAAAATCATACACACAATTGAACTCACAGGAAATGAAATTGCTTGATGAAACTAAGAGGAGATTTTTTTCTTTTCAATTTTCTGAACTCTCCTTTTTTAAAAATTATTTTATTTTAAAGGGTGTAAAATTAAACACAACAAAACAGAACAAAATAGGACATAAGAAAACAATGTAAGAGATATAAATTTCAAAGCAAGACAACCTGAGATCTTCACTGTCTATCATATTGTCTCTAGTTTTCTTCCAAATAGTTGTCCATTCTTCACATACAGAGAATTCATACAAAACAACATAGTATAAAACTGATCCGAACAGAATGAGGAAGGTATTTTAGGTCTTCAAAACCAGACATTAGGGAAGTCACTAATGGCTCTCATTCATTCTCTTCAAAATAGCTTTCATGTGTATTGAAGTTCAACAAAACAAAACAAAACAAAACAGGTAGTGAGGGAGGGGTTGCTTGGTTTCCCAGCGCTCCAGGTCCCAGCATGACATGGGTCCCAGTAAACACCAGTGGCTCCCATCCTGGGCCGCTGCAGCATGCCATGCTTGGGGCGCGGGGGTGGTGGTGGTGGTGGTGGTGGTGGTGGTGTTTCAAGCTGTTTCTTTCTAATGAATTGACTATTTCACTGCCCACTTTCTGAAATGGCCAATAGACCATAGAAAGATGTCTCTTTAGACTCCTGCTTGAAACCAACAGCGTCAGGAAGCTGTCAGCCATGATTTCAGGACCAGTATCCTACTTTTAAAAAAAAACCTTATTTAAAAAAAAAAACTGAGCATATTAAATAGCTTTAAATTTCTCTCGGAAAAAAAAAAAAAAATAAAACCTGAGATTTTTTTAATGACTGTTCAATCAAACTCAAAAAAGAATCTAAACAGGAAAATTTCTTTTTTAAAAAGAATTTTTAGAGTTCCCTTTTACATAGAATTGAGTCTTTGGAGTTCAGAGGATGTTGTCTAAAGTTTTATTGTCCTCTTTATCCATTTATCTGAGTGTTTTGTTTTTGAATCTGGTGGTTTTCTTGAGTTCACATCTTCCTTCTGTTAACTTTAATATAAGGATTTAATTAGACTGGAGAGGTTACTTAAACCACATTTAGTTGTACAAAACACAGCTGTTTCCAAGGAAAGGAGCTTTTAAAGTAGAGACCACACTGTTACCTATAATATCAAATTGCATCTCATAAAGCAAGTTTTGCCAATTTCATCTGGAAAATTTCTTAATAAACAAATGTATTGGACAGCAATGAGAGTTAAATGTTGGTAGAATTTAGCAAATATTTCACAGTCATGAGCATTTTACATTAACTTGACTTTTTGGTTGTTGATTTTAGCAATAAAAATATGTAAGAAATAAAACAGTCGGGAAGAATAAGCTAACCCTCCAACACATTCCATTTCAAAGCATTTCCACGTTCCACAAAGGAATTCCTCTCCACTCAAAGAATCTATGTCCGGATATGAATATGCCTTTATTCCTTAATGGAAATATTTATTTGATTCACACACTAATTATCACATTTTCCTATTTTCCCAACATTTGGTATTTAAATTTTTGTTTGAATTTCATATTAGTTATATTTTTAAATTTAACTAAAATGTTTAAACCCATATTTCCTACTTTGTACGCTTTCAGAAATCCTTGTATATTTTTAGTTAAAACTTACAAAATATTCATTATTTTTATCTTTCTCTCAAATAAGCTTATTGTGCATTAGCTGTTCATTAATTCCCTATGTAGAGATGCTGGCGATGTAGCTTGGTGACTGAATGCTTGCCTAGAAAACACACAAGACCTTGTGTTTTATCTGTAGCACCACACACACACACACACACACACACGCACACCTGAAGAAGGGCCTGGAGGGACCTTCCGCAGTGCGTTTCTCCATGACAATTCCAACACCTTCCACTAGGTCCCACCTCTTAAAAACTTCCCCAACCTCCAATAATGCCAAATTAAGGACAAAATTTGTAACATAGGGTCTTCTAATTTCTGTCTCTTTCCCCCCTATTTCTCCCTGGGAATATCTTTATATTTACCATCAAATCTGTCCATTTCTAAAATAATTGTGAATCTTTTTCCATATTTTCTATTATCTCCCTTTTGTAATACATTGGATTTTGTACTAACTTCATGGACAACATATTTTTCTCAAATCTTTTTTGAGAATGTTAGGGGTCCTATTTACTTTAGTCCAATGAATTAAGTATCTGACACCAAAATGCAAATGAACCCACTTCTGTATTGATAGAAATGCTATGAGAAACAAACCCAGAGAGACAGAAAGAAGGAGGAATGGATGGGGGAAGGAAGGAAAAAGCAGCAGCAGAACTCAGAGTGTGCTGACTGCACATCTGGTTTACACGCTGTCCTAATCTTCTTACCAATCTTGAATCAGTAACAAACAGTTCACTATCCATCCGGCAGCATAGCAGATACAGAGTGTAGCACAGTGTCAGTGCCACTGAATTCCTTTCTGTGCCTCAAATACTCTTTCTCTTTCTGTCTTGATGTTTCTGTTTACCTTAGTCTTTCTCTGGTGTTCCTGGTATACATATTCTTAGAGGTGTTTTGCGAGTGAAACTTACTGTGTGTAAAGCCAAGAGTGAAAGAACTCAAAAGTTAAAAACTACCTTAGTGACTTTAATCATATGCAACAATTTAATAACTTTTAACAATTTATCTAAAGAAAAAAAATATTATCTTTTATCCATGGAAAGGTAAAACTATTCTTATACCACTACTTTTGTAGTGATAATGATTCTATAAAAAACTCTACCTGACCTTCTTATTTGTCCTCCTTAAGCCTGACAGTGATATTTTGAGTCACCTGGAAGGCCTCCCCTCAGAAAGGAGCACAGTGACCTATCAGACATGGATAGAACTATTTTTTGTTACTGCCTTATGAGCTCACTACTGAACTTGGCAGCAACAAATTAAGCACAAATAGATCAAGAATGAAAATGTATCTCTTTTTTCATTCCTACATTCTGCTTTATAATCTATTTCCAAGCATATTTCTGCAATTGTAAGAAGTAGCAGCTTTTGAATCAAGTAGATTTGTGTCTCTGTTCTTCTAGTTAAGTATTGTATGTGCAATCTCAGGCAAATTTATAATATCTCTGAGTCTCAGTTTTCTCATCCTACATATGGGACTTCCATAGACATTTATTCAGAGAGTTCTCAGGAGGAAGTGGTTATAGTACAGTGCACTTCAAAAATGTTATTAATAGGGGCTGGGGATTTAGCTCAGCGGCATAAGCGCCTGCCTTGCAAGCAGGCAGTCGTGAGTTCGATCCCTGGTACCGATAAAAGGAAAAAGACAAAAAAAAAAAATGTTATTAATAAGAAGTTGTTTTCAATGTTTCAAGCATAGTGAATGAAATTGGCTTAAAATGTGTTCATTCCCTCTATATAAACACATTGAAGGACTGTGGTCAAATACATGCAACATTCCAAGGACCTTTTGCATACAAACACACAGACACAAACCCTCCAATTCTGCGTACAAAGTAAGTGGGCTTTCAAACTTTTATGATACGTTTTTTTCAAAATTTATGAAAAGTGAATTCTGAAAGATGATGTAACTGATGGTCTTTTGTGGAAATCTAGAGGTCAATAAAACTTGACTTTAATTCTTTTCTCAGTTTATTGAAATCTATCTACATATTCCCATGAATTTCTATAGCACTTGTGAGCTTTGTGTATACATGCATACATACATATGCATGTAAATATATTAATATATAGCACATATTTGTATGTAAAACTGAGCTCACATATAAACACGATGACAAACATAAGGAGTACATTCTATTACTTCTCTCATTTGCAGAGTAAAGACATTTTAGGTCTTGTTAATATTCAACAAAGAATGAATTGCTTCCTAAGCCCATACACACCAAATCATCCTCCATTCCCATTCTCTAGCTTTTTCAAGAGAAAAGCTACTGTCCCAAGTAGGACACCTCACACCGGACATGCTGTGTACATTTCTCTCTCTAAGCAACCGTATATAACTTGTTAATTTCCTTTCGGGCATTTCCCGCGGTGTGGTGGTCAATGCTGTTAGTATTGTTCTTCCCTTTTCTGTCTTCTACCTAGTCACTCTAGAATAATCTTTTCCCCTTTAGTAATTTTTCCCATTTGTGAATACACAGAGAAACAATGACCTCAATTATAGTTCATAAGCATTCATGATACCCCTGTAATAAAGAGCAAAGTAGAGTCTCAAATAGTGAAGTGAAATTAGACACAATCACCAGCCAGCACCACGCACCGTGAGAGCCCTTCAGTGTGCTCAGGAGTCTCCTTCAGAATTTCCACAACAGTCTCCAACCACATCCTCATCCTCCTCTAATTAAACCTGCTTTCCTCAAGCACCAGCATTTCAAAAATAGTCCTTTTCAATTTTATTATTTTCTTGTGTTTTTTGATTACTAGTTTGGAAACATCTATAATTTCTGCAGTGTTTTTTACTGAAAATGTAAGAATGTTTCAGCACATTGTGGGGGTGGGGCTGAGGTCTTAGTCACCATTATAATTTTGTTGCTAGAAGAAAATGCATTCTGAGCTCTGCACAAGTGACTGAGAAATGAATTTTCAGAACGTGCCTCATGCTGAATGAGAGGACTGGCCATACACATAGTTTAAAACTCTTTAAGGTTTGATTGTGTCAAGCATCATGAAGGCTGCAATTTCACTTGTAAATGTTGTAAATTATTCACCAGCCCAAACAACTGTGCAGCAAGTATCGCCTCACTTTTGGAGATTCGTTTATTTTCCCTCATCTGGGCATAAATTGTTATTCAAACTGGTCACTTAGTCCGGAAGATCAAATTAATGCTAACAAAAAAAGTGAAAAGCAATATAAAGAAAACAATATAGAGAATGTAAAAACTTTCACATAAAAAAGTACAATAAAGTCTAAGTATATACATATATATCAAACATTTGGAGACTTCTGAAATGCCAACTTATTTCAAAAATCTGGAAAATGAAACAGTTCTAAGCAACTAGAAAAAAATTTTTACAAAATACCAATAACACCGTGTGTAATTCATCAAAGAAACCCGTGATCGCAAACCTTGAATGATAACCTGCTATCCAGTTCCTCTTGTTTTACCTGCCAGAGTCCATATGTACAAAAGAAGTGAATAGTAAGTTTTCAGAATTGTTCCATTTGTGTATATACTATTATTTAATTAACTCATCAAATTACAGCAGCAGTATCTACTTTGGATTCATTTTAATCTAGAAAAAAATAAATGCTAGACACCATTATTATTTATGACTTCAGCATCAAGCTGGAAAATGTCACTTGAATCTTGCTTGAATTATATTTCCTATGTGAAAATGTAATGGCCACACAAGTTACTCTCAATCTATAGTGTATGTCTATGTCAGCGCTCAGAGACAGGAAAAAATCGTTTGTTTATCTTTCCATATGTAAAAAGCAGCAACCTTACAGAGTTTTTGTTTTCCTTGTTTTATCCTGAAAGAAATTATATCATCCCTCCTCCATCCCCCAATTATGTTGCTGGCCTCAAAGGTCAATGAACACATTCATGCAGAAAGATATAGATGACTGTAGAAAACTGGCTTTTTCCTGCTATAATATGGGCTTGCATATTTTGGCCAGGAGAAATTTGCACAAGGACATACTCTTCTACAGGTAATAGTAAGCAAATTCCTTAGGTTCAAAGGGGAATTCACTGAAAATATGGTC